CGCCCGCACGCTGCTGCGGCCAAGGATTGTGCAACTGCGTGTTTCCTTGGGATTGCGTGTTCCCTTGGGATTGCGTGGGGGACCAATCCAAAGACCTCTTTGAGGGTGATGGTCCAGTGAGAGTAGTTTGGCTGCTGCTAGGCGCGTGCTGCATTGCTCTTTCGTAGACGGCATTGCGCGCAGACGGTGGCATGGGCGAGCGTTTGACTCCCCTGCTGGTGCTCATCGTCCTCTGCAGTCCGCTGGACGTATCAACAAGGCTCGACCTCATGGCAGCTGGAATGCCACCGGTGCCCTCTTGCCTTGCGTACGTCGTTGGCGGTTGAGGTGCGCCACGGACGGTGCGAACGCCTCTGATTGTAGAGACGCTGATATTGCTCCTCACGCTAGCGTTGCGCTGGAGTGGAACGTGCTTGTTGCGATCAGCGGGATTGTTGGGCCATGCCTGCTGCTCTTCGCGCCCGCGCCATCTAAAGCTTGGCTGGCGTCCCAACCGCGTCGTAGACGCTTCTCTTCGCACGGCTCGAGGGCCGGCAGAGTGATCGTTGACAAGTTCTCTCGGCACGTCGTCTCTTAGCAACCGCGCTCCTATGGTAGACATGCTGTCGTGGCTGTGATGCTTGTTGTTGTTGTTGTTGTTGAGGAATGCTCCTCGAGGACTCGACCTGCCGCTAGAGGATGACTGGGAGCCGTAAACTGTAGCGTGCAGCCGCGCGCCGTGTTCAAAGAATGGAGCAGCGTGCGTCATGGCTCGATGACGTTCGCGTCGAGCAGAAGACTGCCCGCTGCCCTCTTCCGAAGCGAGATGTTGCTGCCTGGCCATCATGGCGAGCTTCTCCACCGCAGCATCGTACGCGACGGCATCTCGGTGCAGGGTGCGTCGATGAGCAGCTTTGCCGTGCAAATGCCACCACGCACACAGCAAGAAGCACACGCCGAGAGGAATGGCGATGGCGTAGCCCAAAGCGGCCACAGCTTCAAGTTGGAAGCTGGGAAAGAGGCCGAGCTCTGGTACCTTTGGCGTGTGCGGGTGCTTAGCATTGTGCACGCCTAGCCCTTGATGAATGTGCGTGGCGTTTTGGAGCTTCATGCTTGGTGGGGAATGCGAGACTTGACTTCAAGGGCAGGTCGTGGTGTCCATCGAGCAAGCTTTGCAAAGGCTCGACCCGCTAGCTGCCTCTTCTTGACTCGATTGCAAAAGCCACTGATGTGCCAGCAGATCTTCAGTGCACTGCGCTGCGCGAATGGGCTGGCTCATATATAGCGGTCGCAAAGTGACTACAGCAGAGCAGCATGTGCGACTGCGCCAAATGCTGCTTGCTGCGTATGAGGAGAGCAACAGCTGCGACGCGCTGCGCTCTGAATCGATCGCCTCGACGGTCCTCCTTGCGAAATTTGCTCTGCTCTTGGGTGGTCTTGAGTCGTGGTTGCCGAGAAGCGTCTCTCCTCAACCATGCAACGGGCCGGCCGGGCTATACGCTTTGGGACGAGCAACAACGCTGTCCGCAAAGACGCCGACCGACCCATGTCGATTCCTCGCCGGTTTCATATCACCTTGCTCCTTCCTCATCCAAAACCTCTCTTCTTCATTGCGCGCACGCCAAAACGCGCCGGCAGAACAAAGGGCGCGCGTTCGAGCGCCCAGCAGCAGCAGCAGCAGCAG